TAAGAACTTATCCTAATTCAGTAAATGAAAAGGTGTACAGTATTTATAACTGCAACAACAACAACAAAAAAAAACAATGATACAAATAAAGAGCAATGGAGTTGAGTATTTTCATATGATTGCAAGATCATGAAGCCATATATTTACTAATATGGAAAGTGTATGTCATGTATTAAGTCTAAAAAGTATAATCATATGTAGACATATTATTGTAAAAAACAATGTTCATTTCCCTGTGTCTCATTCAATTTTTATTTACATAGATTATATTATTGTGTCCATCTACAACATGTTAAAATATTTTTTAGTTGTAGATGGACACAATACCTTTATTTTATTTATTTATTTTTATATGGTGCTGAGGATCAAACCCAGTGCTTCACATGTGCTAGGCAAGTGTTCTACCACTGAGCTACAACCTCAACCTATTATGTCACTTTTGTTTTTAAACATTTACTTATTTAATTTAGTTGTAGGTGGACACAATAACTTTATTTTATTTTTATGTGGTGCTGAGGATGGAACTCAGTGCCTCAAGCATAAGAATCAAGCGCTCTACCTCTGAGCCACAACCCCAGCCCTTAAGTCACTTTAAAAAAAAAATTTTTTTTAGTTATTGATAGACTTTTATTTTATTTATTTATATGTGGTGCTGAGAATCAAACCCAGTCCCTCACACATGCTACGCAAGCTCTACCAATGAACTACAACCCCAGCCCACCTTGTCACTTTTTAATAAAGAAAAAAACTACTATAATGTATAAACAGATTAAATATGCTAAATTTTAGTCCTACCTACTATAAATATTTTTCAGCTCAATTTCTACCTCGATCCTATCTCATCAGTCATTTAGTAAGCATACTGTGCATATTTTCTATGTGCCATGTTCTATATCAATTAGGGAAGAATAGTAGGAAAAACCAGATATAATCCCTATCTTCATAGTATTTCCAGTTGTAAGAAGAAAGACATTAATAAAATAATGTTTTATACACACTCACACCAATCACCAGTCAGAATCACATGAAGAAGAGCTGGACAACCTCAGGTAAGGGAAGTAAGACAAGGTGATCTGGGGAAAATGGCAGAGAGGACATCTAAATAATAAGCGGGAGTTAACCAGATGAAAGGAGAAGAAAAGACATTCTCAAGAGAGGAAACAACATATTCAAAAGCTTCTGGCAGGAGAAGGTGGCTGCCTTGTGAAATTAAAAAGGTCAATATAGCTGAAGCAAGGAGACCAGAGGGAAGATTTGTGTGAGATGGGGCTTGACAAATTGACAGGGGCTCAGTGTTGAAGAAATTTGTTTACAAATATCTCTACTTTAAGTTTAGTAGTGATATAAAGTCAATGAAAAGTTGGGAATGGGGACAGAAAGGACAAGCTGCCATGATTAGATATAAAAATATTAATATGACATATAGAAAAAAATCAGACAGGGCATAAGTACACTAGGAAGTGGCTACTGTATGTGACAGAGAACAGGGATAAGTGGTGGTAATAGAAATAAAACAAAGAGCCTGGTGTGGTGTTGCATGCCTGTAATCCCAGCAGCTAGGGAGGCTGAGGAAGGAGGATGGCGAATTCAAAGCCAGCCTCAGCAAAGCAAGACACTAAGAAACTCAGTGAGACCCTTTCTTTAACTAAAATACAAAATAGGGCTGAGGATGTAGCTCAGTGGCCAAGTGCCCCTGGGTTCAATCCCCAGTGACCCCTTTCTTCCCAAAACACACACACACACACACACACAAAAGAAAAAAAGCTTACAATTGGAGAGGTGAAACTGACAATTCAGTAATGATAGGACACAAGAGTCTGAGGGAGGGGGAAATGTCAAATTTGTGTCCCAAGTTTCTGCCTTGAATACCCAGTTGGTTGGCTGGTGCTCCTACAGACATAGGTAACATCAGAGAACCAGGTGCAGTTGGAAGAGCATGATTTTAGTTTTAGACATGATGAGTTTAAGGTGTTTTTGAGGTATGCTGGAGGGGTTTTCAAAAAGACAGTTATAATAAAGCTCCTTTTCAACATCTTTGTCAATATCTTCAACATAGTCACCTCTTTCCAACTTGTTCCTAGAGAAAAATCTGAAAAGTCATTTACGTAAGGGAATGACTGAATTACTATATTTTAGGTAATTTTTCTTTTGAAATAAAATCCCTATCTAAAAAAAAAGATAGTTATATGTAAGGTATCTAGCACAAAAGGAAGATGTAATCCAGAGGGAAAAAATTATGTTCATGAGGACTTGGGAAAAGATATCATTACCTAGGAAAAGAGAAATTGAGATGCAGACCACCAATGTTTAATTGCCCATAGTTAAAAATGATGCTTCAATAAATTTATTCTAAGCACAAATAAATTAGCATTGGTCTTATATTTTGTAAATTTTATTTATCTTTTCATGAGGTAATATTCAATTATATGTTATTTTTATTACTGAGAGAAATTCAAGAGGATGAACTTTGTATGTCTAATATAGTTCTCATTAAAATTTAGTTAGTTAGAACCTTACCCTCAGTAAACACAAATTAAGGTATTTTGTATTTCTGAAGAAATTTTTGTATTTTGATTGTAAGAATTATTACCTGGCTAAAAAGAAAACATTCTGCCTTTAAATTATGATTTTAAAAGCTATTCTGAAGTATAACATTTCAGGTATCTTATTTATTCATTCCTCAACTATTTTCTGTGAGGTCAATATATGTTAGGTATTGTGGAAAGAAACAAAACATTAAAACCTAGCCTTAAGGAGCTCTCAGATTAATAAAGAGAAAAAGCAAATAAAGAAACTGAAATATTATATTCTAAGTGTGTATCATATATGCATGGGATACAATGGGAATACGAAGGAAGGATACCAACAGAGACTTGGGAAGACATACTCAGAAGAGGTTTCCTAGATTTTTAAGAACAATTGGAGTGGGTCAGGTCAAGAACTGGAGACACAATCTAGGCAAAGAAGCCTGTATCATAAAGTCTACTAAAAAAATTTGGATGCTTTTAAGTTTGTGAAGAGTCAGTGAAGAGTCTTCAGCAGGGAGTGATATGCTCCAATTGACATTTTAAAAGGACACCTACTGGTAATATGAAAAATTAGTTGGACCTGGGCACTACACTTTAGATGAAAAATAACGAGAGCCTGAATTTAAGTGATAATGGGAAGACCTAAGGAAGGTAGGCAGAGGCTGAGAGATATTTGAGAAGTGGAATGATGGGACTAAAGCTAGACATAATAGAGATGGAGGAATAAAGTATGATTTTCAAGTTTCTGGCTAGCTAATTAGGTAAAGGTAGATGCCCACTCATGAGTTTAGCTGTGGACATTCTTAGGTTGAGGAGAAAATGATAAGCAGGCATTTAGAAATTGTTGAGAGCCACAGACGAAGGGGCCCCAGCAAACTTCCAGCTGCCGGCTGATGATTGGCTCACAGCAGCCCCAGCAACATCTAGCTGATTGGCTCCTCTGTGGTGATGTTCATTGAGCTGTTTCCCTGCCCTTTCAGACCACGGAGCTGCCCATTGGGGGACTTTTTTGGCTCCGCCCACGTGACCCAGCCAATCCGCCTCATGAGCAGGAGGATTGTGGGAGGTGGTGAGGCTTGTGGTTGAGAGAGAGGCTTGTGGGAAGCCGGTGGTGGCAGTTGGGCTCTGAGGGTTTTTCCTGAGGAGCTGTTTTGTTTGGCCTGTGTGGTTCTAAAAATAAAGTTCGTTTCTTTTGACAAGTGGCTCCTGAATTGTGCCCAGCCAGAATACTTAGATTTAAAGTCAGATTGTAGATAAAGTCTTTACTGTTTAGGTGGTTTTTGAAACTACTGCTTTCATTAAAAAAAAATGAGCTTAGCAATGTTTCTAAGTAATCTAGTTAGTAAGCTTGTTTATAATGCATTTTTATACCTAACTGCACACCTAATGTCTTCATAGTCAGCAATCTATGTTTAGTTTCCCAGTGCATTCTTTTGTATACTAAAATTTAAGAGCCACTGATATATGAAATAGGAAAACAATGTCAATTGTACAACCATAGAAACATCAATATTAAAGGAAACAATTCTGGAAGTTTATAACAAAATATTAACAGTGGTGATCAATGGATGATGAAATATGGAGTTTAAATTTTCTTCTGATCAAAACATTACTGGGTTTGATTCTCAGCACCACATATGAACAAATAAATAAATAAAGATTCATCAACAACTAATAAAAATGTAAAAGATTACTAAACATTCTGGAAGGTGGAGATAGAGATTTCTAGTTAAAACAGAAAGCCAGAACCTCAAAATAAATGGAATAGTCATTTACCTTAATTTTTGTTTTTATTTTTAAAATTTCAACATTTATCTTTAAAGAGAGGTAAATATTAAATATTTTTAAATTAAAACAACCATTAAAAGTGATGTATATGCTTGAGTTTTTAAGATCATTTTATACATTTCATGGTGAGAAACAGCTTTTTCTGCAAGACAACCATCAAAACTAATAACAAATTCTAAAGTATTTATAATTGAAGTACTATAATTTTATAAGTGAATGACTTCAGCAAAAAAATGTTAAAATGAGGACTAGCACAATGGATTCCAACACCTAATCACACTCAAACCAGATATATTTCTAAAATGATATTGTAAGTTGATTTAGTATCTCAATTTTAAAAAAGAAATGCCTAATTTCCCCCTTTGATTCAATTTAGCCATTTTATGCTTCAAAATACAAAATGTCACGAGGATGATGACTAATGCAGTAACCATGATGCAAAAAACAAGTTAGGCTTGTTTAAGAAACTGTTTTGTGGGGTTGGGGTTGTGGCTCAGTGGTAGAGCACTTGCCTAGCACGTGTGAGAGGTACTGGGTTTGATCCTAAGTACCCCAGAAAAATAAATACAGGTATTAAAGAAAACTGTTTTGTTTTATATTAAAAGACAAAAATACTGATCTTTTAACTCTGAAAAGTTTCAAAAAACACCAGTATGATTAGAAGCATGACATTTCTTTCATTACCATGGGCTCGAAGTAAAGCTTCAGCAGTAAATAGAGGAGCCTGAAGCATGTCTGCAGTTTCCACAATAAGCATATCTTTCAATCTTCGAAGATCCTGAGGCCTTAATCCTTCATATGGCTTTGAAAAGAAGAGAAATTAGAAATTAGAAGTTAGATTGGCCGTGATGCTTAGGAATTATCAAAATATATATAAACAAATACATACAATTATCATTTATTAAATCTTTCAGCTTCAATTTGATTATAGAAGTTCAAATGGTATTTTTAGGTTCTACTGTCACAGACTTCAAACTACCCTTTCACAAGTCCCTTTTAAGCTGGAAAGCAGATGCTGGGGCTCATGCAACTCAACATTCTAAAAACAAAAGTATTAAAACCATAGTGGCAAAACCATCATACCTTACAGTTTTGCAAATCTGGTTATATACCAAAAAAAGCCTTAGAAATAAAAACTTATAATCATATGAATAAGCAATAATCACTACCAAAGGTCTCATGTATTTTTATCCAGTTTGTTCTTTCTGCAAACCAACTGTATATAAATACATGTATGTTCACTTAAGGCAGTTTCAGTCACTGAATCACTGAATAGTAACCAATGCATTGTAGTAAACAAGAATTAAAAATCAGCTTAAAAAGCAGTAGAGATTCCCAAATATTTATTAGAAAAACAACCACTCAGATGTCCTCTGGTAGTATCTATCACAGTTCTTAAAGAGCTCTAGGCAGGAACAAATCTCACCCAGTGTATTTGATTTACAAATATTTTAGAATTAGATGTTATTTTTATTTCTTGCTTGTTTTTTTTTAGTATCATGGTAATCATTTCATCAATTCTTACTTAACTTCATGTGACTAGGATTATTCACCAAGGCTAATTTTTCTGAGTTGACAGGATTAACTTTCTGATTCTTAGATATCTTCTGGCAGGGACAAATAAAAAGCAATGAGTATATTAATGACAGAGAAGACTGACACACTTAACCTCATAAAAATCTGCCAAGATTTAAACAAACAAACCAAAAAAGGTGTATTATATTTAATATATAGAAATTCTGTCATCATAAGCAAGTTTTTTTTAAAAAAATTATAAAACATAAACAGCCTTCAAGATACAAATTCTTTCTCCAGCAAAGGCCAAGGTTACAAAAAAACAAAACAAAACAAAACAAAAAAACCCCACAGTATTGGCAAAGTTGCAGTGAACTGGTCATCAGCAACATTATAGATGAAAATGAAAATCAGTGTATCATTTAACAACCTACCATAATCTATCATGAACCCTTAAAATATTCATCTTTTAACCTATTGATTTGACTTGTATGAATGTATTGCAAGACAGAATTGCAAATGTGGACAGAACTGGTTATTTGTAATGTTATTTGAAAAGTTAAAAAAAAAGCAAATAATTCAGATCTACACTAAGGGAATTATGTTACAATCACATTAGAATATGCATGTGAAAATGATTTTCATCATGATAATTGTCATGATGAGTTTATAAAAATCCAGCAGTGTTAGGAATTAAAAAATATTTTAAAAAAGCACGTTCTATGGAAAAAATGTAATTGAAAAATAAAAGAAAAATCACTTGGGATGTAAAACAGCTACCAGGAGTAGCAGTGTACATTCAATCTATAGTGTTTTTATATTAAAAATTATGGGGTAGACTTAACATTACATACATTCCACATCACACAGTATTATAGCCTACTTCATATGTATCCATTCAGCTACAAAACCATGAATGCCTACATATACAGGTATTCCATGAACTTAACTAGAAAGAAATGGAAAATTAACACTATTCTATATAGAAATATCATTAAATAAAAATGAAAGAAGCACTTCAATGTAATCCTATGTATCCTTAGAAAAAGTCTTAACTGTATAATGCTACCTTTCAAGCTAACTGTGAAACACATTTTCTCCTTAAAAAAATCCTAGTACATCTTTTAATAGTTAAATTTGTAGTATTCATTTTATTATGAAAGTATATACTATGTATCACATTGTTTCTAGAAAATGTATTTCAAGTCCAGGTTTGGGGTTGGAGTAACTTTCTTTGCCTCAATAATTAGAATATTTCTTGATATTCCCAGTGGTAGCAATTGTGTATTTCCTGAACTCATTTCCTAAATATTCTTTTTCAGATTAGCCATCATTCTACCTCATCAATGTTGAACCAACTAAGCAGGGAGAAAATGGTTAATTTAATTATCACTTTATAGATTATTATCAAGAAACCAGCCGGACACAGTGGTGCATGCCTGTATTCCCAGTGACTCGGGAGGCTGAGGCAGGAGGATCTCGAGTTCAAAGCCAGATTCAGCAAAAAGTGAGGCACTGAGCAACTCAGTAAGACCCTGTCTCTAAATAAAATACAAAATAGGGCTGGGGATGTAGCTTAGTGGTCATGTGCCCCTGAGTTCAATCCCAGTACCCTCCGTACCCCTCCCCAAAAGAAACCAATAGTACAGATAAACTAATGGGGGAAAAATCACCTTTCCTTGCAATTCTGATATAATGTATTGAAAGATTTTTTTAAAATTTTAGACATATTAAGAAGGAAAGGATACTATAAAGCAATCAGCATGAATTAAGTTTTTTTTTAAATGTATGCAGTTTTAAATTAAAAAAGACAACAATGGAAGAAAAACAGTTGTTGAAGGACAAAAACATATTGCCTGCATAAACATGTAACGTACTCATTCTGAATTTCTGTAGGAGAACTGTAATTAGGTCATGTGAAGCATTTCAATACATTGCTCAGTCCCAAGTGGGCATTAACTAGTTCTTTCTTCTGTAGGAAAGATTAAAATTAAGGCGCCTTTCTTTTTCCTGCTGCCAGGATAAACTGCTTCTACTTTCAGATTAAACACACACCAGCAATAACCTTCAAAGGAGTCAGTACAGATATAAAAAAAGAAAAAGGAAACTAAATTAAAAAGACACAGTGAATAAAAGTACCTCTTCTGTATCAGTGCATACTACTGCTACCAAGAGATCACTCAAGAAATGAGAAAACCTAACACAAAAATGGCACTATTTTTATACCATGTTAAAAAAAAAAAGGTAGATTCTTCAAAAATAGTTTCAGAAAGACTCTGACATAAATTAATTGAAGGGCATATTTGTTTTTGTTAAATTTTTCCACAATGAAAACAGCACCCTGCTATGAATGTGAAACATGTGAAACGTTTTTTGTTGTTGTTGTTGTTGTTTGTTTGTTTTTTTTAGTTTAAGGATAGCATTTTTTTACTCCAATATATTGGTAACTTAAAATTTTTAAATGTGAAATACACTCAGGAGAGTGTATTTCCAATTCCCCTTAATACCAATTTTTATTTTGCTGATCCATGAGCTTATTTTAAGAGGTAGAGGGGGAAAAAAGCAGGGAGAGAAATAGGCAATATCCTCTCTCCCTATTCAGCTGTTATTGCCTGGGCATTAAGACCTAGACTATTTTCACCTATACCTCCACTTAAAAGTATACTATAGAGCAGAGGAGGTTAAATGTGCTAACAAGAGTAGTTGCCTAAGGCAATGTCTAATATGTGGGTTCCTTGCCAGACAGAACCTTGAAGGGGCTCAGGGGTAGTGCCCCACTTAAAAGTATACTATAGAGCAGAGGAGGTTAAATGTTCTAACAAGAGTAGTTGCCTAAGGCAATGCCCAACATGTGGGTTCCTTGCTAGACAGAACCTTGAAGGGGCTCAGGGGTAGAGCGCTGGTCTAGCATGTGGGAGGCACTGGATTCAATCCTCAGCACCACATAAAGAAATAAATAAAGATATTGTGTCAAACTACAACTAAAAAAAAAATTAAACAACAGCAAAAGGACCTTGAGCCTTCCTGATTTATAGAATGGTAGAAAGGGAGAATTCTTAATTTTTTTTTCTTTTTTTATGAAGGCCTTTTATACAACATACTGTGCACTTTCCATTTACTCAGAAGAAAACTTACAATGTTTCTAGGCAGCCATAACTATAGTTTTTATTTTTATTTTTTTTTCTTATCTGCATTCCTATTGTTTCCAGGCACTTAAAACAGTGTCTGGCAGAGCAGCAACTCAGAGTTTTGCTGAATGATGGGATAAGAAATGGATTTCACCCATTTATAAACTAATTATTTTATTATTTATAAACGAATTAATTACAACGTGTCAAGAAGATAAAGGATATTTTATACACCATCTAGATCATTAACTGAATCAAAAACTCAGAAATGTAAAAATATCTAAATTACTTAAATATTCATCAATAAACAAATGGTTAAGATATGCAGATTAGGTAGCTCAGTGGTAAAGCCTTGGCCTAGCATGCCTAGGCCCTGGTTCAATCCCCAGCACAGGGGTAGGGGGTGTCATGGGGAGGGGGCGGTGGCAAGGGGAGAGTCTCTCAAACACAGATTACATATTCTGACTTGGGAAAATGTTCAAGATATATTGTAAAGTTGAAAAAAAATTATTAGGACTCAATACATGATGATCTTTTATGTTAAAAATTCAATATGTATATATGTTTTTGCTTAAGTCTGATAATATAAGAAACTTAATATGAAACGGGTAGCATCAGGACAGAGAACATTTTTTAGCAATAAATATTCATTATAAATTTCAGAAAATGCATGAAAATAGAAAATTAAGAAAATCAAAGGAAATTTCCCATGACTACCATTATTATTTTATGTACTTCAATTTTCTTTCTTTATATAGGTTTTCTTCTATATAATTAGAATCAAACTATTATATATTTAAAGTTAAACTAATAGTCAGTTACACTAAGTTCATTTAGGTCATTCATCTGTTAATGAGTTCTACTGATTTATTTTATTTATTTTTTTGTCCCCCAAGTAGTTCTAAGTTCTATTAGTTTCTAAAAACCAAATTCTACTAATTTCATATTTTAACTAGGAATTAAATTATGGTACCTTGGAGAAAAGATTAAATACATAATCACAAATGACTTTCAATTTAATCACATCAACATTATTTCTGGAATACTACTGCTGAAATGTTATCTTCTGACTAAATAATTATATTAATAATTTATGCTTGACTCAAAATCATGGACTGTCAAAAGGGAAGTAGTATGGCAAACAGAAGAATCAAGTTCATTTCACTGTGATCCTGGAAAGTATTTTCTGGTTTATCTTTCTTATTAAAAAGGGAGGTGGAGGGGCTGGGGTTGTGGCTTAGCAGTAGAGCACTTGCCTACTAGCACATGTGAGACTCTGGGTTCAATCCTCATCACCACATAGAAATGAATAAAATAAAGGTGTTGTGTACAACTACAACTAAAAAGTAAATATTAAAAAAAATGGAGGAAGGGGACACAAATATCACTCAAGATTCCTGTGTGGATTCAATAACCATGTAAAAAGGACAGCAAAATCTTTAGGACATAGGCCCTTTCTATAAGTACTTAAACTTAATAAGTATATCTATAATATAACCTAAATAAAGAAACAAAAACACAAAGAAATACAAATATTAATTCTAAGAAACTCAGCTCTTTTGGCCTTTATAGAGAGTATAAAAACTCAAAATATTTTTGTTGACAATTTCATAAGAAAAATAAAACAAACAATATGACTGGATGATACACATACAAACCAATAGTGATACAATACCTTTAGAATCAAGTTAGTACTGAACAATGAAGAATCAGAATCATTTTGGGAGGAAAAATTGTGTTATAATTTCTTTAAGCAATATCAATGGATGCATACTCTGTAAGCAGAGTGTTAGGCACTGAAAATACTCTGTTGAATAAGGCAGATGAGGCTCTAGATTTATTGTAGTTGACAATCTAATAAGAGAGAAAGGCAATAATCAAATAAATACACAAAATAATTATAGCATCTGATAGGTCTTATGAGAAATAAATGGGGGCACAAAGTTTCAGGTAGACAGGAAGAATAGATATTGAGGTCTACTGCACAATAGCGTGAAAGACTAGAATCAGAATAAAAATGTACTGTGTATTTCAAAATAACTAAGAGCAATTTTCAAATATATCACCATAAAAAAATGATAAGAGCATTGGGAGGCCGTATTTAGAAAGATTTTCTTTCTGAACCTAAAAGAAAACAACTGGGAAGAGATTTCAGACATAGAGCAAATGGAAAAGCCTTGGATTAGTCTAGGTATTGTGCTGGGGAAGTAAATTTTGAGATGAAGATGGAAAGAGAGGTAGTAGTAAGATCATAAAAGGGCTTTCATCTGAGTAAACACTTCAGATTTTATTCAAGTACAATGACAAGTCACTAATATTGTTTGAATATGTTTAAATGTGCCCTTCCCCACCTGTTCTCCTGCCAAAGATTCCTGTGCTAAAAGCTTGGTTCTCACTGTGGCAATGATGGTGTGGAATTTTTAAGAGATATGGCCTATGAATGGCAGGTCCTCAATTAGGGGCATACACTAGGAAGGCACTGTGGGACCCCAGTCTTCCTCTGGTTTCTTGTTTCAAGATCACTTCCATAAATATTCTCCACTATTTGCCATGGGGCCCTTATCAGAACCTGCCGTTTAGACTTTTAGCTTCCAAAACCAGAGCTACGTAAACTTCTTTTCTTTATAAAGTTGGCTCATCTCAGGTATTTCATTATAGCAACACAAAATGGACCAATATGGTCACTAATTCATTTAAATGATATGAAGTGATTTAAGTTTAAAATGCGCCACTCTGACTCCTATGTACAAAACAGATTCTAAAGGTACCAGATTGGAGGTAAGGAAAATGTAACAATAGCTAAGAAGTGAGTATGGTGAGGGCCTGGAGATGGAGAGTAGAAGTAAAGACTGAAGAGCATATAGATTTAGGTAAAATTAACAGGACACCCTGATTGTTTGGATGTGATGGTTAAGGAGATGTGAGGAATCAAGAATGCCTGCCACATTTATTATGCTTGAGCAAATCAGTTAGCTATGGAGATGACAGGATATTTAGCATACTGCAAAGATGACCATACAAACCAAGCTCTAAAGAAGAAAAAATTTCTAATTTAATATAAAATGTAAAATTATTGTTACATAATTTTTTATTAAAAACAACAACAACAAAAAGCACCTTACCTCTCGTTTGTCTAATGCAGCATATTCAGCTTCTATTTCTTCAGCCTCAGGATCCCGTGAAAATACCATTTGGGATTCCAGATTGAGGGCCAAATCTTTGTGGTGTTGTTTTTCAGCACAATCACAAGGAGTATCTTTATTTTCATTCTCAGCAAACAAGTCTCCTCCATGTTTTACTAAAAGCTAAGAAAGATTTTTTTGAAAAGTTGCAGCCAGATTTACATGAAAAGTTATTGCAACCTACTGATTTTTAAAAAATACAATAGGATTAGAGTAACAAAAATGCAACAGTATGTATAGTGTGTATTTGAACTAATAATAAAATGTATTTTAGATATCTGTAGCTTCTAATTTTTAAGGCTAGAAATTATTCTTTTTTAATAATAAGATGAATTCCTTTGATTATAAACAATAATAAATAAACATTTTACTTGTATCATTCATTATCCTGTGAAATACTAAAATGAAATTAGGATGACCAGGTCACTGAGGCAAATCTGTTTCTAATATTCCTCAAAATAAGTAATGGGATGAGCTACTGATGGACAAGTTGGGAAGATCTTCTATCATACCATCTCTCTTTGGTCCAAAGAAATCCATCTCTAAAAAGAAATAAAATAATGTTGTAACTTGCTTGCTATGAGGTTTCTACTGGTTTTGTAGAAGTTAAATATGCAATTTCTAAGAGCTGTAGGTCCAGATTCTGATTGTGTTCATGGAGATGTTAAGGACATAAAAATCTTCAAAAAAACCCTTCAACTTTGAAGGGCATTCTGACAATTAAGCATGAAGATTCTTATACAGGATCCAGTCATACTCAGTATAGTAACAGTCACTATGTATTGCCTTCTAAGCACAGCATAGTGCTTAGCATTAAATATACATTCTCATTTAATATTATACACGCCTGTAACAGAAGTGTCTCAGAAAAGGAACTTGACCAAAGTTATCAAGCTAGTCAGACACAAGTGTGATCGAGTTTTTAACTGTGCTTGGCTATTCTGCTGACTCATGTTGTAGGATGATCACACAAACTGAAGAAGGCAAATGCAACCTGAGTCAATCCTCAAGTTCTGCCCAGGCTCTTATGTAAATCTAAATGTGAATACTTTTGTAGAGGCTTTCACTTTATATGAGGGTTAATCAGAAATGGCTCTTTTCATTTTCTTTCAAATAATTTTATCCTCCTCTTTGCTCACCAGCAAACACTGACCTTCTTGCAAATTCTTCTGATTGGAATTCTTTTTTTTTGGTACCAGGAATTGAACCCAGGGCACTTAACCAGTAAGCAACATCCCCAGCCCCTTTTATTTTGAGACAAGGTCTCACTTAGGGCCTTGCTAAGTTGCTGAGGCTGGCTTTGAACTTGAATTTGGCCTCCTGAGCCACTGATCTGATTGAAATTCTTATGTTTCCTCTACAGTCATACCAAGATATATCAAATCATCACTATTTCAACACATCTTTTCTTCAATTCTGCCTTTCTTCCTGTTTATAATTCCAGAGGTGGGGTAACCAATAACATTCAAAACAAATCCCATACTATTCTTCTGATCCATAATATAAAATGTTGGGAACTCTTGGCAAGTCATTTAACTCTTTCAAGTCACAGTTTACATAGGCTCATTAGAAAAAGAGACATGTAATTTTGAAAAAAAGGTGCAAAACAAGATGATTCCTAAAGTCTGTTCTAATTCTAAGATTACCATTTCACTATCTCTGTGTACTGGACTTCATTACTTTCTCCATCTCTACTATGACTTCCTTTAGCTCCTGGCACAGAATCCCTTTAACTTAATCCTGCTATCCTTCTAGTTACTTTCCTAATGCTGTAATGGGCAGGATAATGACATTTTAGTGTGCATATAAGAAGAAGATGTAGTGAGATAATAGAGCTGAAAAATTATTATTATTGCCTTAGTGGTGTTGTGACTATCCTAAATTTATAGAACACCACCTTATTCACTAGTTTGTGGTGATACTGGTGTAAACAAACCTACTATGCTGTATAAAAATTACATACATAATGCTTTCACTTTATATGAGGGTTATTATGTAAATCTAAATGTTAATACTTTTGTAGAGGCTTTCACTTTATATGAAGGTTAATCATAAATGGCTCTTTTCATTTTCTTTCAAATAATTTTATCCTCCTCTTTGCTCACCAGCAAACACTGACCTTCTTGCAAAGTTGAAAAGGAGGGAAAGGTATGCAGCAGGCTTTAACATCAAGGTTTATGTACGTACATGTTATGATGTTCATACAATGGCGAAACCACCTAACTATGCATTTCTCAGAATGTATTTCCATTGTTAAGGAATGCTTGTCTGTCTGTTCCTGTTGTCCTCAGCCACATTTCTCAAAAATATTCACTCTCTCTCCATTTTCTCAGCAAATGACTCAATTACTCCTAGTTATCTTCTACCTTATTTTATGGAAACAATATTCCTGAAAGTCATTAATACCTCTTAACTCTCAATCCAACAGTCTTTCTCAGTCCTCCAATTCCTTTACCTTGCTGCAGCATGTCACATGACTGAGTACCCTCTGTTTTAATCAGCTTTTTCACTAAAAGATCTAACCAGAACAACTGTAGAGGAGGAGAAGTTTATTTGAGGGCTCAGGATTTCTAAGGTTATTAGTCCACAGAAGGCCATCCATTCCTTAGCGCTCTAGTGAGGCAGAACATCATGGCAGAAAAGGGTGGCAAAGGGAAGCAAGCAGCTCACATGATGTTTAGGAAGCAGAGAGAAACTCCACTTTCCAGATACAAAATATATACCCCATAGCCCCACACTCAATGAACCACTTCCTCCAGCCACACCCCACCTGCCTCCAGTTACCACTCAGTTAATCCCACCAGAGATTAATTCACTGATTAGGTTAAGCGTATGGCCCAATCATTTCTCCTCCAAACCTTGCACTATCTTATACGTGAGCTTTTGGGGGACACCACATCTAAACCATAACACCCTTTCTCTTTGGAATTCTTCTCTTGGCATCCTTGACATTCTATCACTATGCCACTGTATTTTTCTACTTTTTCTGTTTCTAACATAGGCTTTACCTCTTGTACTTACCATCTTCAAATGTAAGCATTTGACGTTATCACTTTAACTCTGTTATCTATAACTTTAAAAGACTTTCCCCTGGATCTCCCATCTTTCCATTGTCTTGTTTGTAGCTGTCAATCATGTAGCTCATAATTCCAAATCTATACTCTTTAGTCCCAAACATTTGGTCCTAATTTTCAGTAGTCTGTCTACTATTTCTTGTGGAGAATCTAAGACCTGAATATCCATCCTTCTAAATAAAAGGCTACTTTCTCTTCTTTTCGACTCATTCCTTCCTCATCTTACTTTTTGAGAGGCTGATAATGGTTGGCAAGCCTCAAATTTACTTAGATTTAAAACCATGTTCATTTTTCTTAAAGTTAATTTAATTTAGTTAAGGAGATAAGAGTAGATTATTATAAAAAAAATTTTAAAAAATCAGAAAATGTCATCCCAAGATAGTTCATCATAGTCAATATTAAAAATTTAAAGCCTTTTTAAACCTTTTTCTCCCTTGCTTTTTTTCTTAGTTTTTATTTTTTTGTTCTATTAAGTTATGCATGACAGTAGAATGCATTTCGACACAGCATACATAAATGGAGTATAACTTCTCATTCTTTTGGTTGTAAATGATGTAGAGTTACACTATTCAAGTAATCATATATGCACATGGGGTAATAATGTTCAATCATTCTACTATCATTCCTAATCCCAAACCCCCTTGTCTCCTTTCACTCTCCCTCTGTCTAATCCAAAATACCTCTATTCTTCCCTAGCCCCACCCCCTTAATGTGAATTAGCATCCGCATAACAGAGAAAACATTCAGCCTTTGGTTCTTTGTTTCATGTCACCAAATGCTACCAGTTCTTCATAATATCCCATATATCTGCTTCATTCTTTCCATCCCTAATGCCACCACACAAAGCCAAGCTCTTTATCAGTTTATACAAGATTAATCCAATAATCTCACTACAACTCCTCCATCTAGTACAATGGTTTTCAACCTTGGCTACACACTGAAGCATCTGGAGAACTTTAAAAATAACAATGTGTGGGATCTACATTTAGAGCTTATGATTGTATTAGTATGAGGTTTCTATACAGTAATGGTTAGAACCAGTATCCTGATACAAGGTTTTCAAATGGTTTAACAATCACCTGGGGAGCTTGATAGTCTTATAAGATGGATTTGGAGTGGAAAGTGCAATCAATTTATTTTTATAGGTGATTACAATATAAGTGGCCCAAAGACCTCATTGTAAATAGGGGTTTTCAATCTTCAATTGGAATATGATTAAGATTTACTAGAGTTTAGATTCAGTTTCAGTTGGGCATAAAATTTGGTCTGAATTTCTTTATTTGTAACAAGTTCCCAGATGATCAATGCTAATACCATTCTGAGGACCAATCTCTGAGTACCAAGTCTCTTAATAAATACTGCTTTACAATTATCCCATTAAAATCTATTCCACACTCCAACCATTAGGCTAATCTTTTTGTTTTACCTTTTAAGATACTACTTTTTCAATCACAGTGTTTCATTGGCTTAATTTTCTGCAAAAGAACTCCCAAATCTTTGACCCTGGCATTCAGTAGTTTCTGTTTGGTATGGTCTCTATTTTCAAATCACTTATTATTTCTCCACCAAAAAAACTTCAATCTGCAAATATGTGAGATCTAGGACAGTGCTTCTCAAACTCTACCATGCAAAAGAATCAGCAGGAGAACCTACCAAAACATTCCTGGAATCCTAGAAATTTTGCTTTGGAATTTGGAGGTTCAAGAAATTGTATTTATCATAAGATCAGAGTAGCTACTGATGCTGCAGGTCTGACATTTACATTTTGAATAGCTTCCTCCAGATACTTAATCTGAAATCTTACCCTCTCAAATCTTACTACTACAATGAACCCCTTCCAGGGTGTGTGTAATGCCTTTAATAGTCACTGTCTTAATATAGCCCTTAGCACATCATAATATTTGGGAACAATGATGAGATCATAACTCTTGGAAAAAAAATGAGAAAACTGAGACTCAAACAGATAGTTACTGAGTTACAGAGCTGGGACTACAATTCTTGCGTTCTTTTCAATTTTAAAACTCCAGGTGCTAATAAAAAACACAAAATAATTAGGTAAACTCTTCAGTCAGTTCTGTGAATGGTTATTATGGCTTTTCAGTGAACTGGTGAAACACTCTGATAGCTGCCCATGTGTCAAACAGGCTCTCTGCCTATGGAAGGGAAAGTATGCCTTACCACCTTTGTTTTTCTAGTAACCTCTATTTGATCTAAGCAGCTATACTTACAGCTCCCAAAATAAGCAATTAGGGAATGTATCAGAAATATATAAAGTAACACTCATTTTTAAACATGCTTTATAATAGAGTGAAGCACTATCAAAAGCAAAAATCTGTTATAGTCACCAACTACCGAAGTGTTGAGTCATCTTGCCTTATGCAGGGGCCAGTCTGCTGCCTGTTTCTGTATAGCCCATGAATTAAAAATGGCTTTTCCATTTTTTAATAGTTGAAAATGAGTCAAAACAAATATTTCAGGATATGTGCAAATAATCAGAAATTCAAATAAAATTATTTACTATCTAGGTTTTCAGAGGGGAGGAAAAAAAAAAAAACAGCTTACAAACCCCTGAATTCTTCTTTGGTATATGAAAAATCAGAATTAGAGGAATTTATTTTTAGTTTATCCTTAGTAAATGTTTATTATGTAAGCATTTCCAGTGTTCAAACAATTTAAAACTACCACAATTTTTTGATTACTTTTAACTCATAAATAACTTTAAATAATGAGTATTTGTGAAACACAAGATTTTCCTGTTTAAGTAGTTCTAAAAAATACACCAAAGTGAAGATTTAACATAAATCACTTGGTATTAGAGAGTGAACATAGAGATAAAAAGAAGGTGCTGGCTGAAAGAAACAAGAGGTCTATTCTGTCAGTGAATCATACTGGTTTGGTGCAGGCAGTGGGGGTTGGGGGTTGCTGCAAGGAGAAAGAGAAAGAAAATAAAGAACAGACCAAGGTAAGTCCAGGTATTATCAAGACTGGTTGGTTATTGGGGAGATTAAGAGAAGCTAGTGGGTAGAAAGCGCAGCTTCAAAAATGTAAACTTTGAGAAACTGTTGGAACAGCTATATCAGGAAGTCAACCAGGCAGCAATAGCACATGAGAAACTTCAGAAAAATCAGGGTTGGCCATCAGAAACACTGATATGTGACACTATATACATCCAGTGATACCTTCATACCTAGAGGTTCCCAGAGAACTCTATAATTAAGAGATTTCAATTTTATTTGTACGTGTGAGGAGGCTATTATGGACCACAATTATTATAGAAAGGAGGAGTTTTAAAATAAATAATTCATTTCCATGGTTCAAAATGGTGAGGCACAGAAAACTTTATATTACAAATGCATCTATAAAATTGTCAAATACTAACTTTATCAAAGCTGTTCTTAAATAAATATACAAAAACATTTCAACAACTAGAGAAGATATATTTTCATAAATATAAAAATATAAGTCTGTACATTTTAAAAAGGGGTTGGTCTTAACCTTGGGGAAAAAAATAATCTCCTAATTGTAATGCCTAGACACCAAAAATAGGAAATATTTTACTACAGTCATGATCTAATAGAAAATTAGTAATAAAAGGGGTATTTGAAGTAATTTTTAAATTATTTACCCCAACCAGCCAAGAGGCAACTATCACAGAGATTGAGTGACTCACACAGTCTCATAGTTACTATACCAAGATTAGATACCAGTGCTTTCACCATAAGATAATACTTTAGCTTCATGAAAAATTAATAAATACTGGTGACACTACTTCACTCAACTCCAACTTTTATATTATGCTAAATTAACAATGAGCACTATGAAAATTAAAAAGCATCATACAAATGTATTATTATTATTATTACTATTATTCTTATAGACAGACTAACAGATGTATAGAAAGAAGTTTAGAAAAAAATATTTAAAGTACCCTTCATAGTAAATTTGATAAGAGAAATCTAAACCTTTCCTGTTTATCAAAATAGTGCAACATTACCTGAAGACTAATATTCTAAGAATTATAGTTATATAGTAGGTTACATATCACAATGTATTTATTTTATGCACTTACACAAGAAAACACAATAGGAATTCAGGAGATTAGTTAATCCAAAGTAAGTAAGGGCCTAAGTCTGGGCAAGGAGAGTATAGTCAAATAATGTAAATTAAAGATAAGCTTTACATGGGCAAAATAACATCTGAAATGAGTACTAGAATGAATGTAGGATACTCATAAAACCATATTTGGAATATTTTACATTAAGTCAAAAGAATTCTTCAGAATACAGAAAAATGAAAACAGTCATCAAATGCTGGTGTGGCTTATGCAATGATATGATCAAACAGTTAAAATATATTCTCTCTCTCTCTCTCTCTCTCTCTCTCTCTCTCTCTCACACACACACACACACACACACACATACATATCAAAATAAACCTCACACTAATTTTCCTTAATAAACGAAAAATAAAGGTGGTAAAGGTACATCATTGTAAAAATACTTCAAAATCAACAACTAATAAAGCAATGATATTGACAAATTTTGTAAGCAAGATATTAAAACAGCCTTTTAAAAGCATTATTATTACTATCAAGAATAAGCTATTTTCTACCCAAGTCCACTTGAGAAATATGATGCAGATAAATCAATAATGGCGAGTCACTACAGCAGGGATTATTTCATAGGAAACAAATATGAGAACAATATCTACAAGGCTTGAGCAAAAAAATTCTGCTATTAGCCAGCCACTCCCTGCAAAAAATCTAGGATATCCTTCCACTACACTGAATCAATATTAGCACTGTTTGAAAGAATAATCTCAAATTAATGACTGTCACTCACTAACTAGTGAGCAAAGGTGACATAAACACAAGAAATAAAATGATGGAAATTTTAAAAGATTAACAAGTATCACAACAGCAGCAAATAAAAGACAAGTTTATAAGAGTGCTATTAGTGAAAAGAACTGCCTCTTCAGATATACTAAAGAAATTGTATAAGTGGCTATAATTCTTTAACAGAATACTTTCAATATTTTTGATATATTAATCAATTTAGAAGTATAATGTTAAAGAAACATTAAATTTAAAATATCCAGATATACATAATTTAATCCCATTAGGATCACTGCTTTTCCAATAGACACACATTTTTAGAAATGAAAATACTCTGATCCAACCTAAAATGCATCTCCCTCATAAAAGAACTTTATGAGCTATATATGGAATGACATGAATGGTGGTAATTGAGAAAAATCTGTTCTGATGTATATATAGTAGTGATATCATAAAAGTAATGGTTTCTTAGGTTTAGCTAAGATCCCATGTATATAGACGATTGTATCTAAACGTATTGTTAGACATTTTATATATATTAGTAACATATATTAGGTATATATATATTAAATACATGTTAAAAACTCAAATGTAATGTACTTAACAGCACTTTAATGCAGACCAAATATAAAAAAGTTTAAAAACAACAAGTGCTTTTAAAGATTCAATAAAAGCATTTATTCATGTTTATTTATTATTTGTTCATGTTTATCCCTTGCTTTTTAACTGATCGATTCTAGAAAAAAAATACCTATAGAGCCTACTTCTCAATACTGCCATATCTGACACGTATAAATTTCATAAATTGGCTACAAAAAAAAATCAGCAAAAAATCAGAATGCATCTTGACTAAAATTATTACTCTCAATATGACAGTGCTTAATTGATGACTACTTTTGTTGGTAAATTTTTAATTATTCTTGATTCTAGTTTATTTAAAGGGTTGACTATTTAGCTGTGGGTTTTTCCTTGGTAAAACAACATTAAAATAAAGTTAAAGATAATTTTTTAACTTTAAAGGGCCCTGATTCTTTCAGAATGAAAAAAGGGACAAAAATGGCTAGCTTAAATATTGTTACCACAAACAAAACAAACCCTTATTGTTAAATATTAATAAGATACAAATTTTATAATTGAGAATATTAAAAGAAACCAAGTTTTACCTCTACACAGGCTTTCATCCCTGAGGCAGCAGCATAGTGAAGGGGTGTGTTTTTCTTGTTATCAACAGCATCAATAGCTGCTCGCTCATATTCGCCTTGATCAAGTTTTGCCCCTTTCCATCTTAAGATCATCTGCAGACAATCTGCTCTTCTGAAATCATCTTCCACGGGGCGTGCTAAGCGCGGATGAAGGGCTCCTTCAGATATCATAATTTGAGGTCCCATACACAACAAATGCATAGATGTTTCATTGTGGACATTCCTTTTATTTGGATTTCCATCTCTACCAAAAAGAAAAGTCCTAAAATGGAAGGAAGAATGAAACCACTTGAAATATATAAGAAATCACTAATTTAACAGATAAGCTCAAAATCTTTTTTTTTTTTTTATATTGGGGATAGAACTCAAGGGCACTCAACCACTAAGCCACATCCCAGGCCCTATTTTGAATTTTATTTAGAGACAGAGTCTCATTGAGTTGCTTAGTGCCTTGCCTCACTTTTGCTAAGGCTGGCTTTGAACTTGCCATTCTCCTGCCTCAGCCTTCCAAGCCACTGGGATTACAGGAGTGTCCACTGTGCCTAGCTCAAAATCCAATTTTTGAAGTGTTTGGTTCACAATAAGTTGAAGGACTGATTCTTACAATTTCAAAAATCTTCATTCTAGAATAATACTAAAATTTTAAAAAAAGAATATATAGTGCTTGCTAATAAAAAGAGAAGAAAAGAGAAAATGAAGGGGTAGCAGATGAAAAGGAAAAGAAAGAAGAAAGCAAAGGGGCAATTTACAAATTAATATGTCAATTATATAAATGTCTTAGAGTGCCTTAAGAAACTATATATATATACACACACACACACACACACTTTTTTTTTTTGCTGCCCTCTCCTATCATACATATTTACTTAACAACCATGGTGACAACTAATATTAAAAACACAAAATCCATAGGTCTTTAGACTAAATTTTTAAATCTAGGAAAAATTTTCTCTACCTGAAGGTGATCAAACTAAACTTTGGAATAAGGGAGCACACATTTCCATAGTATCTAAATTTGCCTGAGCTGCTGTAACAAAAATACCATAAACTATATGGCTTATAAACAACCAGCATTTATTTCTCACAGTTGTGGAGATTAGAAAATCCATGATTAAGGTGTCAGCAGTGTCTGGCAGGGGCTTATTTCTCAGAAAAGTTTTTTTTGCTGTGTTCTCACACAGTAGGAGGGGCAAAGCAGCTGTCTGGGGCCTCTTTCATTTGGGCACTAATCCTAACCTCATGACCTAGTCATTTCCCAAAAGCCCCAAAACTGTCACCTCAGGGGTTAGGAGGCAAAAAGACAACAGCACATGGTATAATACTTCTGATGAGAATTAACTTGTAGTTGTTTCTCAAAAACCATCATCTAATTTGATGGTGGGAGATTTTACCAAAGACAGGTCTAAGTAAGCTGCCTTAACTACTGTCAAACCTGGATCTACAAGTTATGCCTCATTCCTAATTTATTCATAAACTAGGGTCCTAAGACTAATAATTGAGCCAATTTAGTGGCTACAATAGGATACTGGAAAATGGGTTGGAAAAGACTTGCTATAATATAGGCAGCCTATAAATTTACTCTGAAATGGGTATACAAAGTCCCACATCTGAAGATAAATGCCTACATTTACTGTCTCCACTGACCAAGACTACCTAAAAGCAAACCCAACCTTACTTAGAAGTTTCTTTTTTACAACAGGTTGTCATCCCCTAGTTGAGATCATTAGGCTCCTCTTATCCAAGTCCAGAACAGCAAAGGGAAGGGAAAAGAACTAAATCCTGAATCCATTACATTTGAATTGCTTTTAGGATAGTCTAGCAAATACATTGCTCTGACAGGAAAACAAAAAAAACAAAACAAAAAAAAAAAAAAAAACTGACCATAAAGGAACTGGCATACTACTCCATTAGTAGTAGTTAGCCAAGTTGGAAAGCTCTTGGGGGGTGGGGGGGACTGAATAAGAGGTCCAATCTCAAGCAGAATGACCCAGACAACTTACTGAATAACTCTGAATCTGTCAGCTTCACCATTCAAAACCCTAGAGAGCTCATCAGTGTGGTCCTTTAAAACTAACAGGGTTTTTAAAAACTGCATTTATTAGCTTGTCCTGAAAGTAGGCACGAGTTTTCTGGAGCAGGAAATAAATGAATTATTACTACACTTGTAAGAATCATGTCAACTTACCCATATCCCAATTTTCCCACTGGTGCAATGCAAAAAGACAGATCAGATGCCACCTTGCATGTACTAGGATTTGCCTTATAGGTGAGTGTGGCAGGATAATGCCTCTACCTTAAAGATATCCACTTTCTAATCCTAGGAACTTGTAAATATGTTACCTGAAATGATAAAAAGGAACTCTGCAGATATAATTAAATAACCAATTTGAGATGAAGAAATTATTCTAGATTATCCAATGGGCCCAATGTAATAAAGCATTCTTATAAAAGAGAGAGACAGAAAGGTGTATGCTTCTAACTTTAAAGATGGAGGAAGGGAACATGAGCCAATAAATGTAGGCAGCTTGTAGAATCTGGAAAAGGCAAGAGAAGGGCATAAATTTCATTCACAAGGCCTCCAACATTATATCTAATCACCTCTCAAAGGCTCTATCTCCTAATATCTTGGGGTTTAGGATTTAAAACACAAATTTTAGAAGGACACAAAAGGAATATAGCCCTGACAACCTAGAGTTTAGTCCAGTGGAACCATTCTGACCTTTATATCTCTAATATAATAAAATTTTGTGTTGTTTTAAGCCATTATATTTGAGGCAATTATGACAGTGACAATAGGAAACTAATACAGTAAGAAGCACTGAAAATAAAAATCTGGGAGGTTATATAGTAATATCTGTATAGCAGACCTCCTCCCCTCTGGAGATGCAGAGAATTCAACCCATCCCTCAGCATAAAGAATGTCTTAGGGGACAGACCCTGAGCTGTGACCCTCTGGATTGTAAAATATGTCTCTAAGGGAAAGGAAAGATCAATAATTAGATTTTTACAATTTAGGGAATATTTCCATGATCTCAGGTCTCATCTACTCCTCAACCTCTTTCAAATATATGTATCTTTTGGGAGATAAATCTCTCTGGAGTTCTCAGTATCTATTCAGTCATGATGTTTCTAAGGCTCAGCTTTTAGCCTAGGTCCAAAGTTTCAGTGAAATTTGCTCAGATTTTCTCTCCATGCATATTTTCCCCCACAGCTCCACACAGCATTTACAGCCTTTCAGGCACTCATAGTATTCTACAATGCTTGTTTTGCTGTTTCCTAGGAATTAACCAAGACTACCTAAAAGCAAACCCAACCTTACTTAGAAGTTTCTTTTTTACAATAGGTTGTCTTCCCCTAGTTGAGTTGACCACTTACTTTTTTGTCCTCACATAGCATCCTCATTGCATAACTCACTTCATTCTATTGTAGTTACTATTTTTATATATCTGTTCTCTTCTTTCACTTAGTTTATAGGCATGTAAGGCTAAGCCTATATCCTGCTCTTTCTTGAATCACTAGCAGTGTCACACCTATAGTAATTTCATGATATAATTTTGACAGATAAACAGAATACATATTAAATTTCCATGATCCAGATCAGGGACATGGGGTTGGAGAGCTCTCAAGTTGGCAGTATATAAAACTAATTAAGAACACAGTATCTAGTAGCAGACTACTATATTCTAATCATAGCTCTATTGATTTCTTTGTGTGATCCTCAGCAAGTTACATAATAGCTCCTAACAAGTAATATATGATTCAGATTCTTTGAGTAAACCTACTTCTGGAAATGTATCTTAAATAATTTAAAGAAGTAAAAATCTAGGAACACTGAAGATTCAATAGTATTATTCTGAATAGAAAATCTGGGAAATACTTAAAAGCATGACAAAAGGAAAAACAGGAAATGAAAATCAAGGTATTGCCTACCCAATGGAAAATTAAAGTTGCTAAAAAGTCTACCCCAAAACACTTATAGCTAAATAAAAGTATAAATAAATAATTTCAATTTCTATCACAATTCCCTGAATATTTATGGATAAAAAGTAGAAGAGAAAATAGAATAATAAACAGTTGTTTAAAGGAAACAGAAACATGGATAATTTGTCTTATTATGCTACTATAATGTTGCTCAGTAGTTAAAAAACATTGTTCCTTATACCAATAGCTAATGATGAAATTTCCATATCTCCTTGTATTTATGATGATTATAGTAACTAAAATTAAAACCATAATCTCAAAATAAATACCTCTTCTAGGAGGTATTGCCATCAACAAAAAACATCCACTTTCTTAAAAATTTAGTTTAGAAATTTTTAAAATTCATATTCTACAAAAATTTTGAACACATTTATCTATCCTTTTCTATTCCCTTTTCCAATATATCAGTTTTCTTTAAGTTTTCTTTTGAAAGAAATCAGGTTATTATCACCATGTAATTGAACATAAGTTGGAAGAATGTCAGTCAATATGTAAGCTTCAGATACACTCCTTTCTGTAACCATGTTGGTAGTTATGAAGTGTTTCCTATCACTTGACTATAAGGTTAATTCTGGAACAGAGTTAAGAGATGATTAATAGAAAGGTGCACTGAGTAAAAGACTAACCTGGAAAAAAATATTCCTTTCACTTAACTTAATAACCCATCTAGAAGACAGGCTTTTCTAGATTCCTTCAGTGTTGATTCTCAAAGTCAGTTAATAACTGTTACCTCTATTTATTTTACATTAATTCTTAACTTCAAAATGACTCTATTCTTATCACTTTACTGAAATTTTATTCTCTCATACAACCAGGAATTTCCTAAAAGTTAAATTCTTTGTCATTGTCCTTAATTTTACTTTTAAACCTGAAATTCTTCTTATTACCTTGCTTTCCATAACCACACATCTTTCAATAATACTCATTTTTTTTTCAGCACAACTTTACTTTTACCCTTGGCATTGGCTCCACTTCCAATCCCTGCTTGAAGAAAATAAGATATTTTTTGACTCCATTTTCTTCTCCAAATAAATTCAAAGAGTACAACCACTTTCAGAGCCATTTAACCTTTAATGGGTTCTATGAATACCCTTTTTAAATTAAGTTTGGTCAGAACTCAAATGATAGCAGTGGTGGCAGAAATATACTTTCTCTCAAAAGGTTTTTACTATTATTTCTGTGGTAATTTTTAATATTCTGTCATCCTATATGACTTTTCTTCTGACCTCTAAGCCATGTTCTAATTTCTTATATGCACTTTCTCTTGCATATTTTGCTATCATCTTATATTTAACTGAGCTTCCTTTAAATCAGTTTTCTCCCCTACAGCCTCACATTTCTTGCAATAATCCCATTTTCACAGTCAATAATGTATATTTACACCTTCAAATCCTTTTAAATCTCCTCTTTTGTATAACAATGATTGAGTATTCATTATTTGCCAGGTACTATTCTAGAAATTAAGCATATTATAAAGAAAACATAGTAAGGTCTTGCCCTTAGGGATAAGCATGCGAACTAGGGGGTAGGAGAGGAGGCTTGTATTTTAATTCACTTCAAAATAACTTAATAACTCCTTAAACATAAAACAGTTTAAAAATTTAGAAATCATTAATTGGAAAGTATATTTTAATGAATCCTCAAAGCTATAGACCTTTATATTAATATATGCTTAGTAAAAACAGACTCTATTGAAGACTTCATATTTTATGTATACCCAAAGACAGGTCTCTTTTATTTCCAAAGAAGCTGTTCTATAGAAGACACAATAATGAATCATATACTCAACATAGAACACAATGGCACTAAAGTCCATGCATGGCCTTTTGCTACATTAAGCAGTAACTTTGAGTATGAATTTATTTTCCATAAAAAAGGCAGGGTGGTGTAGTATGATGTAAACATACAACATTTGGGTACAGAGAAAAATAGGTGCAAACTAGCTACTGAACTGTAAATTCCTCTTTTTGCCATATTATTCTGCCTAAGAAAAGAACAAAGAGATGCATGCTACTGCATGTACCATAATCCTAAAGGAAGTGTAGATAAAAATCAAGCACTTATCCCAAATTAGTGTGGCTAAAAATCCTTGGATAGGTCTATCTTTGTCTACATATATGTGTCATGGTTAGGTAGAACTCTAGCCAAGATAAGCAAGAGTTTACATTGAAGTAGCAGGCAAGCACACTAGATTATATGAGGCAGCATGAGAAAATAAATGCTATTAACTTGTTAGAAAGTTAAGCAAGGTTAAATCAAGTGCAGTATTTGAAGCTACTTAATATACAAAAAATTAAAAGAGTTGCTATTTTATTTAATGCTGAAGAACACATGCTCTTTAGCCTCATTCTACATGACATAAAAGTATTAAGAGTTAATTCCTTATTCCGAAAGCAATCATTTACAATAATAATATGAAAAATTAAAAAGCAATCTATGGAATGGGAAAAATATTTGCAAGCCATATATCTGATAAAGGGTTAAATTCCAAAATATATAAGTAACTCCTACAACTCAAGAGCTAAAACCGACCTGATGTTTAAAAATGGACAAAGGGCCTGAACAACATGTTTTAAAGAAGACATACAAATGGCCAACAGGTGCATGAAAAAAATGCTCATTATCACTAATCATCAGGGAAATGCAAGTCAAAATTATGATGAGGTTATCACTTTATACCTATCAGAAAGACTATTAACAAAAAGTCAAAATGTAAGTGTTCGTAGGATATGGAAAACAGATGTACACTGCTGGGAATGTAAAATGGTATAGTCAGTATGGAAAACAGTATGAAAGATCCTCAAAAATTTAAAAATAGAACTTTATGATCCAACAGTCATACTTCTCAAAGAGGTATACGCATTCCTGGGCTAACTTTAGTATTTTTCACAACAGCCAAAAAACAACCTAAATAGCCAAAAAGGATGAATGGACAGACTACACATCCTCTGTAAATATATACATACATACAACGGCATATGATTCAGTCTTTAAAGAGAATGAAATCCAGATAGGCACGATGACACATATCTACCTGTATGCTGGCTAATCAGTAGGTTGAGGCAGGAGAATCACAAGTTTTAGGCCAGTCTAAGCAACTTAGAGAGACTTTCTCAAAAGAAAATAAGAAAACTGATGAAAAAGTAGTTCAGAGCTGGAGCATTTGCCTCGCATGCACCAGGATCTCAGTTCAATCCCCAATACCAGGGGAAAGAAAACAAAAGAATAAAATCCTGCCATTTACAATAACATGAATGAACCTTGAGGATATTTTGCTAAGTGAAATGAACCAGACATAGAAAAATAAATGTTATACAATCCCACTTACATATAGAATCTAAAAAATGCAAATGCAGAGACATAGAGAATAAAATGGTGGATACCAGAGGTCAGAGGTAGAAGAAATGGAGAGAGGATGGTCAAAGGGCATAAATTTTCAGTTCTAAAATGAATTAAGTTCTGGAGACCTAATGTACAGCTTGGTGTCTATGGTTAATAATTATGTATTAAATAGGTAAAATTTGCTTTAAGAATAGATCTTGAGTACTCTCACCACACTTATAAAAAAAAAGTTATTAGTGTGAAGAGATTGATATAATTTGATTTGGTAACTGATGATTCCATACATCAAAACTTCATGTATATTTTAAATATTTTTGTTAATTTGTGAATATACATACATACAGTAAAATATGATTCAGTCTTTAAAGAGAATGAGTTTTTATTTGTCAAATATACTCTAATAAAACTGGAAAAAATTGATTCGTATTTCTGAACAATCTAAGTAAATTTCCCAAAACAAAAGGACACATAAATTAAAGAAGTAGGGTTGCTTATTCTTAGGAAAGAACAGAAATAAAATAATCTCTGATTCTAGTACAGTATGCTAAAAAAGCTAAAACAAAGAATACCAGTCAGTGTTCTTCAAACAATTAAGAAAGAAAAAAACATTTTAGGACTGGAGACTGAAGATGTAAAAATTTTAAGTACAATGTTAAGTATAAAGTATATGGTCAAATCATAAAAGTAATCCAGACTGGTACCTAAAAAAGAATATATAATCATGTTTACTGTAGGTTTTTAAATTCTCATTTAATAGAATGATAACCAATAATAGGGTTAGACAGATATTCCTGCTTAGAAAGGAAACAAGAATATCAACTAGAAGAGCAAGTCTTAAAATTGGGTTCATTTGATTCTTTTACAATTTTAAAAAAATTACTGCTGGTTCCTGAGAGCTTGATTGTGGGTTATTTATTAACTTAAAAAAATCCATTACACATTAACTATAGATAACACTTTAAAACAAAAAAGATAACTAAAAAAATAAATCAAAGAGTGACATTATGTGTTTATAAATTTCTTTTAATGTCTGGTTCAGTAGAAGACAGCTGGATTTTCAAAGAATTCAATCTTTTGTAATATGTTAAGTTGATTCAAATATAGTATCTGCAGAAAATTCAGACTTTATACAGTTAGAAAAATATTTTAAAAGTTGTCTCTTCAAATAACTATGGACATTTGTTTTTGATACACCAAAAATTCAACAAGTCATATTACCATTGCCTTGATTCATCTAAAAGCACAAGCAGTTTTAACCCTCCATTTTTGCATTATCACTGCAAATGTCAACACAGTGAGAAAGACAAATCATATCTTAATATTATAAAAATGTTCTTGACTTCACATTCCTTTGAAAGAGCCTCAGGATACAGGAGTCCTAACAACACATTTTAAGAATCACCAGACTAAATGAGTATCTTTCATATAAACTAATAATTAAGAGCAGTGGCCTTCCTTCTCTCCTTCCTTCCAAATGGGAGTTTCGCTATGTTGCTTAGGCTGGTCTCAAACTTGTATACTCAAGTAAGCCTCCTGCCTCAGCCTCCCAAGTAACTGGGATTATAAGCATGCACCATCATACTTGGCTTTACATGATTTTCTTATGTAATGTTTTCCAATTTATAATGTATATCTGTACGTTATACTACAAATGGTCAAAAAATATTTTGCTACTTGGTTTCTTCTGTGTTAAAATAGACACATTAACTCAGTAATAATAATATTTAAATATGTTTTACATTGGGACTATAAATAAATTTTAATTGTAGATAAGACCTGATGTTAAACATTACTGGAATATTCAATATTAGTGGGCTACATCAATAGTTTTTTAATTTCACTGAAAATACTCAACAAAAACGTCATGTTAGAATGCCTTAGTAGATTAAGAAACTAATTGTTAAATTATTGAAAATTACACTAAGTGTTTACCATTGTATTTATGGTATTTACAATCTAGCAAAGAGGAGCTTACTAATGATAGTATGGTTTTAAGTGCGAATTTCAAAGAATAAAAAGTATATTTCAGGTTCAAGTAGTTGGGATGAATTAAAATATAAGGCAGAAACCAAGTTAGAACTTAAAGGACAATAATTAGAGAAGAAAGAACACATTTTAGAATCAAAAAGCAACAAGAACAAAGTTAAGGGTGGGGGAGTATAATTCTTAAAGCAGAAGGAATCAACCAATCAAATTGACAGTCAAGATCATGTTAGAGAGTAATGAGAGATTAGATTAAGTGGGTAGAAAGAAGGCAGAGGTAGGAAGTGTTTTGGAAGGCAAACAGAATAATGAAGACAATAGGGCATTGTTATAACTTTCTCATTAGAAAAAGAACACTGAAAGGAAGACTAATCTGGAAATGAGACTATAAAAGGGACAGACTTGCAAAAAGATCATTTAAGTCTTTTAATGATCTTTTAATACTTTTAAAAGTCTTTTAATACTTTAGATACCTAAAGTATTGAGAGAAAGGATTAATAAGGATGAACCAAGTTTGAGGCAATAAAAATGGAAAGAAGTAATCTCAGGAGATAAACTTAGTGAACCTGGTATTAGTACCATGTTAGGTTAAGTAAATTAAAGATGATTTTAAGATATTTAGGATTATGTAAATGAAATACTATATTTCATTCATCCTATGAAATTTGCCAAGGATCAAAATATCTTTATAGCAACAAGAATATATGAACCAACCTCACTATTTAAACTTCTGGTTTAAGTTAGGTATAATCTTTCAGTTTTAATTTAGGTATGATAAAAAAAAATCACAAATAATTTAGGCATACTCAGTTTTAGAAAGTTAAACCCAATGAAATACCAAAAAACATGCACATACCTGTATATATTTACAATGATTACAGTTGCTTTCCCCTTTCACCGATTTGTTATCATTGGTTTATAGTAATACTTACCCTAATATTCTATTCATTCCATGTCTAGCGGCATAGTGCAATGGAGTATTGTGCTGGTAGGGCTCCCCATAAGATGTATTTGGATCAAGGGATTCTTTTAACTGAGGATTGTTTTCATAGATTTGGCAGGCCAGGTTTTCATCACCATTGATGAGAGCTTTACGGAATTTGGTGGTTGTATTTCCCATGTTTTGATTTGTTTTCTTTTCTAATAAGCAGTGGCACTTTTTTCTTTTCTCCGTCAGCCACTTCTTGAATGCTTCTGCAACATGTTTCACATCCTAATGAAGGAAAAGTTATTCAAATTAGATTATAAAACAGTAATCACAAGCAGCATCTTAAAAAAAATCTTTGAGAAGCATATGTAAATGGCAAAAACAATGCTACGTTTTATGAACTTTATCTCGGCTAAAAAAATCTCAAATTTTTAACACCGCCCAAATTGGCTTCTTTTTAAACTACAACATTTTCTCACAGAGACTATTATGATTTGATAGACTGTACTATATAAGTTATCTATATATACAAGCTTTTCATGTTTCTTCTTCACATGGGCAGGAAATCAGCTTGACTGAGTTTTATGGTTGTATACACTTAAGTTTCCATATAAATCCTACTCAACCAATTTGTGGAAGAGTAAATATAAGAAATTTTGTTCAAGTAAGAATTACAAAATAGGTCTTAAGTTACAGTAAAGGAAAACAAACCATTCAGTGCTTATAATAACATCAAAGAAAACTTTTTAAACACAAAATATAAGACTACACACTTACTGAAACTCAGATAATAACAGGAAACTAATAAAACTGATTATAGAAAGAACAAAAGATTATTCTATCTTTATGATTAGTAAATATATTTCTTTCTACTATGAAGAATTCAAAACAAGCCTAAAACATCAGATATTTATGCACTGTATTCGGAAAGAGGTTATAATAAAGATCATATGGGCATGTACTGCCAAAGCAACGTGAGGTGGGTAGTGTAAGGTCACGGAAACAAATACTGGAATTGAGATATAAAATACTATATTTGCCTACAATGTGTGATTTTAAGCAAGTTATTTACCCTCTAAAATCCTCATATTCCCATTTATACAGCAAATAAATAACTGTTTATTAGGCATGACTACAAGGATTACAAGAATAACTTTATGTATTGTACGTAAGAGTTCTTGGTTAGTGTGTTCAATAAATGCCAGTTTTATTCCATTCCAATAAATCTTATTTCTAAATCTATTATTGAACAATGATTACTATACTTTGAATATATCAAAAGACTCATTTAAAAAATATTTATATATGCATATATATTTTAAGTTGTCAATGGACCTTTTATTTATTTATATGTGGGGCTGAGGATCAAACCCAGTGCCTCACAGATGCTATGCAAGTGCTCTACCACTGAGCTACAACTCCAACCCCAGAAAGACTTATTTGTTGAAGGTTTGGTCCCTAGCCAGTGGCACTACTGGAAAGTGATAGAAACTCCAAGACAAGGGGGATAGTGGGAGGAAATTGGGTCCCTAGGGGTATGACCTTGAAGAGGATATTGGGACCCCAGCTCCTTCCTCACTCTTTTTGCTTTCCCAGCATCATGGGCTGAACAGGACTCCTGCCACATGATCCCACCATGATGTACTATGTATGCCACCACAGGCCCAACACAACAGGACCAAGTAACTATGGACTAAAACCTTAGAAAAGCCAAACCAAAATAAACCTCTCCTCCTTTTAAATTGACTGCCACAAGTTTTTGTCACAGCAACAGAAGTTAACACATGATCAAAACTAGTGACTTGTATAAGCAAAAGGCAGATATGAATAAAAAGCTATATGCAAAAATGGTGAGTATGGGGGCTGTGGCTGTAGCTCAGTGGTACAGAGCTTGCCTTCCATGTATGAGGTTCTGGGTTCAATCCTCAGCATCAAAAATAAATAAATAAATTGTGTCCATCTACAACTAAAACAATTTTTTTAAATGGTGAATATGCATGGAGTTCAGTGTCTCTAGCACTGAATGAACAGGAGATAAAACTGAGGATAGTTTAGGCAAGATAACCTGAAAAAAATCAGATAAGCAAAACTTTTATGCAGGGTCAGGATATAATTATTTTACACTTAGAAAATTAACTACAGTGACAATGTAGAAGATGGAATGGATGGAATGGAGGGAAGAAAAACTTAAGAGACAGAGAATATAAGAGTCTATCATGTTACCCAATTAATATAACCCTGGACACTAAAACACAACTTCAAAAAGTAAAAATAATATGTCAACACAATATTTGTATAGGGTAGTAACAATGTCAACAAAATACAATTGAAAAAAACAGAAAAAAAACCAAATAAGTTGTTTCTTTAAGTTTCTTATATAATTATGACTCTCAACCTTGGCTGTGCAATCTAATAATCAGGAGAAACTCATAGTATTCTACTGGCTAACCTATATCCCAGACGAGTTAAACCAAGTCTCTAGGGATGGTCCCCACGCATTGGTATTTAAGTTCCTTGGGTGATTTAAGTTCCTTGGGTACTGATTTTTAAATTTTAAACCTACAAATACATATGCATAATAAAATATTCTGAAACTACAAATAAAGAAAAAGGACCAAAGGCCCCTCAGTGTATTTACTGGAAGATAACCAGTTAGCATTGACAAATAATCATCCTATTTATCTCTGTGTGTATATTTATGTGTGTGTGTGTGTGTGTGTGTGTGTGTGTGTGTGTGTATACACACATCAATTGGCTCATACTACATAACTTTAATTTTGTATTTAATCTTTCAGAGGATTACTAAAACTTTAAAGTCCTACTCCTTTATTGTTTCATCTTGAATCAGAGGAGCAAATCCTTCCCTCCTACACCCTATACTTATCACAATGTACTACAGATACTTCTAGGATTTTTCCAGGGCAGCCTGTATTTTTTCTTCCTCTTTTTAAAAGAAACTCGGAGTGATGTATTTATTCTTAGTGAAATAACTTGTGTTTGTTGTATAGCTCTAAGCATTTAAGTATTTATTATTCTCAATAAGAATTCCAGCACACTATTTCTATCTATAAAAATATGAAGGACATCATGTGGGTTATGAAGGGTCTTTCTTAAGACTTTGGAAACTTTTAGAAACTTTCAGTTGTTTTGGTCTTATCTTCCCTGATAGAATGCAGCTCAAATTACAAACATTTTCAACATTCTGAGTTAGATTAATATAAATAACAAACTTTCTTTGATTTATATTAGAGTATAACTTTAGGGAAATGTTCTATTTAAAAAAAAAAGGAAAAATAATTTGTATCCAAGATGTTTAAAAAAATGTAAGAAAAAATAATAACACGGGGCACTTAAAGTAACTTGGTACTTCTTAATAAAAAATTAATACTCTAACTGTGTATTGAATATTGCTGTTACTCATGTTGAAAAGCCTAGTGGCATTTTAGAAGCTTTTTCTGTGGTCTTCAGTTATTTTCAAGTCTGTTTCATTTAAAAATTGTGATCAACAGGCCTGAAATACACCAAGAAACATTATTTAAGAGTTGTATTTATTCTCAGAAGTCTTGCTTAGAAATTTGCCAGATTTGCCTTTTACTTTTTCACACACAACTATTATTGCCTGAAATGACTGTTCCCTCTTTGTCTGAATCAAAATCCCTAAGTAATAATCTCTATGAAATGTTATATTATACATATATGTACTATTAGATTTATACTATATTTCTTTTGGAGGTGTAATTATAAATAATACTATAAAAATCAAATTCTAGTATATATGAAAACAACTGAATTTGCACACTGACTTTCTATTCTGTGAACCTGCCATTTTCACTTACTAATTCTAGGAAGTGCAAAAAGAAAAAAAAAACAAAACAAAAAACTAGATTTTTGGGGGGACTGCCTAAATTAAATTCACATAACCTATAAACACAGTCTTAGTCTTGCTTTAACCTGTACTTTTTTAAATTTCTTTTTCTTGCCCTACTGCATTAACTAGATGGATTTTAAAATTAGTGAACCAAAGTTTGGGGAGAAATAGGATAACTGCAAATACTGAAATTATCTCTCCTAAGATATTCAATATAAAGTGAAAAAAAGTAATTTTGCAGTGGAGAAAGATGTGATACCACCTAACCAAGTTATCAATTCTAATACCTCCTGCAACATACTGACATCATAGACTCTAATTTTGATGCACTAAAAAAGGCAACTAAATTCCAAAGTATTCTCATCAAAGAAAAAAAAAACATAACCTCCACCTAAGTATGAGAAAATATTACTCAAATTGAGAGACATTCTACAAAATAACTTGGCAGTTAACAGTCTTCAAAAGTGTTAAGACCATGAGAGACAAGAAAAGACAACAACTGTTCATGGATTAGTAGAGACTAATTATTGGGACATGACAACTAAAGGCCTTGTGGAATCCTAGATTAGAGTCTGAAATGGCGGCGGGGAGGTGAGCAACAGACAATAATGGAAAACTGATGAAATATAAATAAAATAAATATAGTCATTCCTTAGTATTTTCAAGAAACTTATTCCAAGATATTCCATGGGCACCAAAATCCACTGATGTTCAAGTCTCCTATAGGAAAAGGCTCAGCATTTGCATATCATCTATGCACATCCTCTCATAATCCTTCCTGTAAATCACCTCTAGATGACTAAATTACTGTTTAGATACCTAAAACAGTGTAGATGTTATGTAAATGGATGTTGCTTATGGAATACTGCCAAGAAAAGACTTCGTGTAGTATAGACACAATTTTTTTCAAATATTTTTGATCCCTGGTTGGTGGAATCTAAAGTTAAAGAACCCACAAACAGAAAAGGACAACTGTAGTTTAGTCAATAATATACTAGTGTTAATTTCTCAGTTTCGATAACTGAACTATGGTTAATTAAGATGTTAACATTAGGAAAAACTAAGTAAAGGGTGGAATAACAAAGGGAATAAAAACATCCTAAATTCACAAATCCTTGAAGAATATAATAATAATATAATAATAATATATAATAATAATCCTTGAAAATATAATACTAAGTGAAGTTGGCCAATTCCAAAAAACCAGTTGTCCAACGCAAGGTAAACAGGCTGTTCCATGAAAACTCAATTGCTATTTACTATTATTTTTGGTACTAAACATCTAATCTCTATACAATCTTTTAACCCAGGGTATTAAGCTATGTAAAAATCACAAGATATACTGGATCCTTTAGAATAGATTTTTCTTATAAGAGACAAAGGAAGATGGGAAGAAAACAATGTCAAAAACAGCCGC